AATACAGTAATCAAAATAGTTTTGATAAATAACTCACTTTTCCGAGTGAAATATATTCTCCAAATTGCAGTTTGACCAGATCCTTTTTGCGGTCAATTATCCTGAACACTCCCCTCTCATCCACTTCGCCGATGTCTCCCATATGGAACCAACGGATGCCATCCGAGTCCTCAAACTCCTCAGCCGTTTGTTTATCCAATTTGTAGTAACCCTTTGCGATGAAGTCTCCGCCGACTATCAACTCCCCTCTGGGGTACGGCTTATCAGTGGCTCTATAGCCTCCCTCTTCCCAATCCCTGAGCTTTATTTTGCAGCCATGAAGGGGAGCACCGATGCGGCCGCACGTCATCTCATCGAAGTCCGTCACTGCAGTCGCGGCACACGTTTCCGTCGATCCGAAGCCCTATTCAACCGGAAATGCAGTCTTAGTATTGAGTCCTATAACTCACAAATAGTTTGATAAGTCATTGAATACCTGAAGTAACTTAATATTGAGCGCCGCCTTCATTATCCTCTGCGTCTCGGGACTGAGAGGTGCGCCCCCGACCACCATTATCTGCAACTTCCCGCCCACTTGGGATCTAATACTGCCGCAGACAAACTTATTGATGATGGGAGTGGCGTAACCCCTACTGTCCCAATAGGACTTGTACTCCAAGGCGTAGTCGAATAGCTCTTTGGAAAAGTTGCCCCTCTTTTCGACGGTGTCTTCAATAGTTTTGCGAATTCTGTCCAAAATGAGGGGTACGGCCGACATAACCGTGGGTTGGAGGAGAGTCAGGTCCCCCTTATCGCCCCGTCTGATGGAAGTACCTTGGTCTGTTAGCGTGAATGGCGTCCCATAACCCATACGCACGCCCACCGAGAAGAAGAAGGTCTCGGCCACGAACTCCAGTGAGTGGGCTAATGGCAGGTACGCCATATACCGGTGCTTTTCCGCCTCGTTTATGATAGTGTCGTTCAGAATGGAAAGCAGTGATGAAACCGAAGACATGAAGTTCTTGTGCGTCAATACAACTCCTTTCGGTGTTCCCGTCGATCCTATCATTTTCAATACATTTATCATAAATTGTGTTATTATTTGATAACATTGTTAGGAATAGTCAAAGATTTTTCACGTATTTATTATTCAAGACATACCAGAAGTATAGAGTATGACAGCCGTGTCGTCGGGCTTAGGCTCCACTCCAGTCAGTGTCTCCGGGGCTGCCTTTCCATCGCTAACCACTCGCTTAAACGGAATCAATTGAATCTCAGGACCAAATCCATCGGTTGTGAGCTCTTTGAAGCTTTCAATGTATATAACTGTCGTCACTAAAGGTATTTTGGGTTTGAGTTTAATAAGTTTTGGCAACAAGTCTTGTGTCGTTATAATATGTGTGACTTCAGTCTCGTTAATGCCATGAATTATGCCCTCATCTCCTAATAGTGCGTAAAGTGTGGCAATTGAGGCACCGATTCGTGCGATTGCCTGAGCGCTCAGAAACCACTCTATAATCAATGAAATATACAATTAATTATATATTCTTGCTTAAAACTCTATATGTTTGAAAAATAGCTAGATTATTTGTTTATAAAAAACATAATAAATTAGATAATCTTATGATTTAAAAAGTTCTTATAATAAGTTTCAAAATACATACCAAGTCTTGTTTCGGCAAATATGAGGACATTATCTTTGGGTTTCACTCCATTGGCGAGTAATCCACGAGCGATAACCCCAATGCGATCATCCACTTCGCCAATAGTAATCCACTGATAGTCAGTTAGTCTCCATTTCCTCAATACCTTTCCATTCGGTTGTTTCTCTTGCTCTTCGCCTAATATCTCCCTAAACCCGAGGGCCGGTGCGTCCCTTCCGTTCATCAAAAGGGACTTTCGCTGCACTTCTGGTATTGTTTTGCAATCTTTGACATAATGGTGGACCGGATCGCAAACTCTCACATAAGGCGAGTGATAATCGTTGGGGTCTTCGCGCCTGCAGCGGACCTTCTCGTTACGGGCCACCCGTTCCCATGGCTTCTGGATTAGGAAATATATGGGGAAAGTGATCACATCGTACACCACAACCAGGCATCTAATGATGAGGAGTCCAATCGAAGGTTTTTTAGTCGACATGATTATTGTGAGACAAAACCGTGTTTGTGAACAATGTATGAGTTTTGCTGAAATTTTTATACGAAATATAATTCTCGATAAATGATATGTCGGAGTGAATCCAATTTGCGAGACTTGTAGACGAGTTTTGATTCGTTTGAGATTTGAGATTAAATATCTGTAATATATTACGAAATATTGTCAATTTTACCCTTGAAAACAGCGCAAAATAAATATAATTTTTTCTATAAGTAAAAATTGCTGTTAATATAATTTGAAATTTGAAGATATAATGTGCACGATACATAGACTACAAAATACTTTATATGGCTTTTATATTTTTCAAACAACTAGACGAGTAGTATAAACACATGAAATGTTATTTGAATAATATTATTAAACATTCAATTTCAATGTATATAATTCAAACAGAATATTTAATATTTTTATTGATTACTAATTTGATTATTTTTAAATCAATTAAATAATAACTGTAGTTTTATAATTATAAGTTAGGCTTGAATATTAAATTCATGCACCATTAAACCTCAAACATATATTTATTATTCAATTTGATAAAAATTTATAATAACTATTTAAATTTATTTCATTTTAATATAAGACTTTTTACATATAAAACTTTGTATAAATCTGATGTATTGCGTTAATTAATTATGTATATAAATAAAAATAAAAACTCAAAAATCATTATATACTAATAGACAGGTGTTTGTTATGGTATTTTCACTACCGGGAAAATTTAATATTTTTATTAAAGTAATTAGAAACAGTTATAATTTTTAAAAATAATAAATTATAAAATAATACTCCTATTTAATTACATATAAAATTATAATCATTACTCTGTTACTGAAATTTAATATGTGATAAAAAGTCCAGATAACATATAGGATCTCATTCGATAAACCAATTTAGTTATAGATAACTATATTTTATCCATTATAAAATAATAAAACTACAATTAATTGACATCAACTAACAGTTTATTAAATAATAGATATTATAACATTTTGAATAATTTAATTTAAATGTAAAATATTTAAAAGTAAGTTAGTAAATATAAAACAAAATACATATTATTTTGATGTTAATTAACTGTAGTTGATTGTCAAATAATTATAATAGATATTATAACATTTTGAATAATTTAATTTAAATGTAAAATATTTAAAAGTAAGTTAGTAAATATAAAACAAAATACATGCTAAATTACAGTATTAAGACTATATAAAAATTCTAGAAAAACAATAACATATTTTTGTAACAAACAATATAAGAAAATAAACAATATATTAGTGTTTTGTTTTACTTAAAGATAATTTTAATCTCAATTAAAAACCGATAAATAGAGTCAACCATACATTAGGTTTAGATTTTTGAAAAGAGTTAACCCAAAGTCTGATAAAACATGTAATCTCTTCAAACCTGTGGTGAAATAATACTATCAAAGAATATTTGCTTTCATTTCAAACTTTTCCTATTTATCCAGACATTGAATTTCTGGAATTAAACCAAATTTTTATTTATTTAAACATAGTGATTTTTCAATTATCTATAGTAAACAGGTTTAGGTAGACTACAATTAAGCTATTATAAATTATTTTTAAAATCGTTAACATTAATATTGTTTTCATAAAAATTTATTTGTTTTGTAATATTGGAATATTTTTATTCTCGCACAAATATTAATATCGTAAACAAAGTTTATAATAATAAACGTTATGTCTATAATTGAAGCATATTATCTCATAAAATAAAGTCTGACTGATAATAATTTTGAGTTATTATAAATTTATATTCATACTAAAAACAAATACTGAAAGTAAATGTTAGAGCACATGTTATATTATAGTTAATAATAATGTAATAATTAATAATTATGTAATATTATAATTCATATTTAATAGCAATAGTCTCGTTTGCAATTGTTTGAAACTCTTTACTAAAATATATTCTTATAAATTATATGATAACTCATGGAATTCATATTTTCCAGACAATAATGACAAGCACAAATTATTAATACATTTCAAATAGAAAAATATATTATGATTTTACTTTCTTATTTTGATACTGCTATATTAATATTCATTGTAAATAACAAGTTAAGTAACATTTACATGATAAATATATATTTTAAGAATTATAATCTAATAATATTTAAATTTAATAAAATCAAATTCTTACAGTAAATTTTGTAGTAAGTAAATCGTTTAAATGAAAATAACTTCATATATTTAAGTAAAATAATATTTTGAAAATATATATTAGAAAACAAATGTCATAATTATAAGGAAATTTTAATCAATATTATCTATCTGAACATTTAGTTATTATAATAATTTACATCATTTATAAGTTTACAACTACATTTCATTGATTTTTATCAGACACATAGTACTGTATTAACATAAATGAAGTGTTGTCTGAATTTGATAATAGCTAATGGCTTTAAAAATAATTATGATTTGCATATTTAAGCAAAATAAGTAATGACTTAATTCATAAAAAATATCATTGAAAAGACATAAAGAATAATTATATACGATAACACATAGTGATATAAAATCATATAAAGTTATGGATGTAATAGATTAATAGAAAATAAAGTACAATATTATGGGACATACCTATTGTGTTGTACAGAGATTCTGTTGACTCGACTCTATAATTATTGAACGAATTAATAAAAATTTTTCAGCAAAACGTGTCGTAAATATAAGGTTTGCGTAGAAAGTGAACTGCAGATGAGGGGACCGAAGGGCACCACCAGTTCACTGATCACTTGTCTATCACTCGGGTAATGTTGAGCCAAAGTGGTGGTGCTCTCAATCCTATGAACTTAATATTCATTTAAAAGAGTTGATTGCACTACAAGTGAACACTACAGCAGTGTATAGGACATGGAGTAAAGTCGATACCAAAGTTTAGACGATTTTGGATTTTGGCCTATGGATGGGTACATGCAGTACTGGTTATCACACATCACCCGATTCTCTATCATATCATACTATCGTCACTATAATACATAAGTCACTCATCCATAGCCACAATAATACCATTACTGTAATACCTATTTTAGAAATTTAGTTGTTTTGATAAATAAATTTTGAAATGCGATAGTAGTATAGTAAGTATAAATTATGGTACAAATTATGTACTCATATGGAGTACAATACGAGTGAATTCAACGAGAATCGCATATAAAGTAGATTTACTTTTTCATGTAAACAAATATTTTCGTGTAATACCAAACTCTTCTCAAACTACCGTAACTTTATCTACTTTTATGATCAAAATAAAACTTCATTTACTTTTTACCAGTTATTTAGGATTAAACATATTATTGAGTAAAATAATGTACTACTCCTTCATACAAACGGGCAGTTATTATATTAATAGAAAGTTATTTACGAAAGAGTGTCTGATTTAGCATTTATAAGACCATTGAAGGACAAAACAATTGGATAGAAAATCCTTGAATATCTCTCTCCTATTATTCCGTGCTTTCAATACGAGATTCATATGATGTGTGTATTATATTAACGTGTTGTGGAGTTACGTCACTGTATTTTTGTTGCTTTTGCCTGTCTTTGCAGATATGTATTGCCATCAAAGTCTTCACTGATTAATTATTTATTTTATTCATCATTAATAATGCAGTTTGTATTATATTTGAAAATTATTTTAAATATTATTTATAAAAACACCTGTATTTATAACTAAATTTATCTTGACATTACAATGGTTAATTTATGAAGTCAACTTACTCGACTTGGATACATGCAATTTTGTAGTGTAATGTCATTAAAATATGTTTTATATATTCAAAATTTGAATGTTTATAACTATTTAATTATTTTCATTCCCAATTAAATGATAATAATTAATTTTTATTTTGAATAATACTTGTAAAAGAATTTGTATCGAAGCCTTTTAATTGAAAAATAATTATAAATTATATATAACGTTGTAAATTAATGTAGCGTTTTAATATGCAGTATAATAAGTAAGTAAAAATTATACGGCTATTAAATAACTTTAGTAGAAAATTTGGTTAAATAAAAACTTCTCTCTTAGTCTGTTTAGTGTTGAAATGCCATTTGGACTTTGATTTTAGATAGTTTAAGATTTCTGTCAATTTCAAAGACTTGTCATAAAATACCATTCATTAGAAAAGATTCGTTTATTTTAGATAACCTTTTATAGATATCTTTAATAATAGTCCTTTCAAAGAAACTTAATTTAAACTTTTTTTAAAATGTATCTTTATTAAATGTTCACCAATAAAAATAATCTTTATCCAAATTTGATGATTAAAAGTTCTTGAATTTAGTTTTGATAATCTAGCTTAATTTAAACTTATTTAGTTTATATGCTACTGTAGTTATATAGTTATATAACTTTCATAATTTTAAAAATTCAAATTTTATATCTAAACCAATTCTTATGATGATTGAATCTAGTAATAAACTTATTTAAAAAATACTTATACATTTTAGAACAAATAATTCATATTAAAAATATTTTAACTCACTAATATTAGTTAATTGTGCTTAATAAAGGTTTCTTAATCCTAATTTACCTATATACAATAAATTAATTTTGCCTGAAAAGTATAGAAATTTGTTTATAGTTAATTTTTCTCAACGTTATTACATACTACGGTAAATGAATTACATTATTAATTAAAAATACTAAATTAGTGATTTTATTTGATAGAAACATTAAACAATCAAATTCATAGTAGTCATTATAAAACCTTTGATTATTTCACGGCAATTATAAAGATGTGTTTGAGTAATATTATAATTACTGAATATCTGAATCTAAAAAATTTCTTATAGATGAGAGGCTATAGTATTCAAGCAATCAATCATTTATTGCCAAATTGATTGAACCGAAAGGGAATTTTGTGACCAAAAAACATGATTTATTATAAGTCTATAACTCGAAGGATATCTGGTCTCTCGTATTATAACTTATGCTTTGGATATCTTTACGAGACATTCATTCATCTCGTGAGTGAACCCAAACATAAAACATTGAGAAATCACTTTAATTCATGATATGTTCAGCACAAAATTTCTGTTCAAACATAGTATTTATATTAGAAATCAATGAATTACTAAACAATTTATAAATGGAAACATTTGTCGCATTAAAATAACACATGTCTTGTGTGTATATAAATAGC